CCTGTCGCCCCGTCTAGAGCACCTGTCTGTCACGCCGTCTAGAGCACATGTCTGTCACCCCGTCTAGAGCACCTGTCTGTCACCCCGTCTAGAGCGCCTGTCTGTCACGCCGTCTAGAGCACCTGTCTGTTGAAGGCGTCCCCGCAGACGGCGCAGGCAAAGGGCTTGTCCTGCCTGTGGGCGAGCAGGTGCTTCCTGTACTTGCTGTAGGCCCGCACCACCGCCGGGCACCGCGGGCAGCGGTACGGACCCGCGGGGGCCACGGGGCTCGCCTGGTCACCCAACTGTGGGGGAGGATGGGGGTTAGTGGGGAGGTCTGGTATACTCAGGGGAATCAGTAGAGCAAATATCCCGAAAACTATGAAATTTTTCACCTCATTGCTTATTATATAGGGTACAACCTGACCCAGGTTGTACCCTATAGCATATAACCCAGACCTAGTTAGACACAGGCAGTTAAACTCTAGGGTAAATTTATTTAATTCCAGGGTAAATTTTTTAAATTATAGGATAAATTTCTTCAATTTTAAGGTAAATTTAAAATTTCAGGGTAAAGTTATTAATTTTTAGGCTAAATTTATTATATTCTAGGATAAATTTATTAAAGTTCAGGCTAAAGTTATCACATTCCAGGAGTGGCCTTATTAATAACATTATAGAAATATTAGTATATATAACATTATACTTTGCACCACAAGCCCCACCTGATATATATACATATAGTACCAGGCAATATCAATAACATTATAGAAAAATCAATAGATATAGTATAATATTTTACACATCCCCCACCTGTTCGTTGTGGTCCAACAAGGACGGGGGACGGTTAGCCTCATGGGGGGCGGCGAGCAGCACCAGCGCCCCCTCCTCAACGCCCTTTACGTGCACCCCAGTATAACTACTGTTATTATTACTTATTACACACTTATTGCTGCTATTATTGATGATGTTTGTGTTGCTAATGCTGCCACCAGAGACGTGGTTAGAGTTGACTCTAATATTACTGTTATTACTGGAAATAACTTTACTGCGGCCAGCAATACTAGAAACAACGCGGAAACTGTTATTGTTATGTCTGCTTGTGCTGATATTGTTATTGTTATTGGTGTTATTATTGCTAGTGCTGTTGGTGACAAAGAAGGCGTTGTTGTTGCTATTGTTATTGTAGGTCTTCTTGAGGGGCAGGATATGGATGGTCTTCCTGGGGGTCTGTGGCTGCTGGCTGCTTGGTCTGCAACACAACATCACTATTAGATGATGGTCTGACATGCAGAGTAGTACAAATTATTCTGAATTTAAAAGCAAAGAAAAGAGAAAAAAATTCACCATTTCACAAGAATGAAACCATTTTGAACTGATGATGAACTCCATTGTCAGTTCAAAACATATATGTTTCTAATTTATTATGCTTGTTGTGTAGGTTTTGAACTGATGATGGATCTGGACTCCAAAACATTTTCATTCTTAAGAAACGGTGAATTTTTTTGGCTGTTCTCTTTATTTTCATATGCAGGATAAACTTGCAGTCTAAGCATTATTACAAGTGATTTTAATACAACTTATCCTATAACCTCAGTAGCCACACTGACCTCAGCAGCTTGTCACTCGACGACTGCAGCGATAACGGCTGCACACCAGAAGTCTGTGGAATGCACCTCAATAAATATTTTATATAATTGTATTTAATATTAATACACTATCGTGAATTTTTCAAATTGATTTTCACGCATGTAGAATTGAATTTATTTTCATATAGTCACAACATAAAATTTTTGTTGCAGTTTGAAATTTAATGAAATATTTGGCTTAATACATATATTCAAGTTCAATTAAAAATTCAGATTTAAAATTAAAATTCCAAAAAATTAAAATAAAATTTTAATTTTAATTTAATTTCCTTGGATATTATTGTTCAATATATAACACAATTCCTTCTATGAGAAAAGTGTGATTACCAATGAACACTTAGATTCAAGCCTAGCCACAAAATATTGATAAGAATTACTACAACTGAATCAACAAATTGAAATTTGATTAACACGGCAATCACTTCACATATGAAATAAAAATGGAATTTGAAATTTTTAAAAATTCACAGAAGGCAATTATGACCTAAGGTAATGCAATTCAGACATAACTCTCACTTGTGGTTAAAAACCACATGATTCTGAGACTGAAAGATCAACATAGCTGTGCTCAACAGTTGCAGCCATAATGCTATACCCTAACCACATATTTAGTTAGCTTTGCCAATAACATCCAAGCAAGATAAGATATAAATGGGCAGTATTGATCATATAAAACATTAGTAACATCACTTTCTGGTATGCATTTATAAATTATTTATTTATGACAGCAAATATTTCATAACATCACAGGTGGCCCTTGTCATTATAAATTGAGACAAAAATATACCTCGGTTTGTCTTCATTTTTGCCAGAGCCACATTGGAAATTGTGGCAGTGTCACGAAATGAGAACTAAGAACAGATGATTTCTTTATGGAAACCTCAGATTACCTGAGCAGCAGGCAGGTCTACCACAGGAATACCTGAGAAGCAGGCAGGTCTAGCACAGGAATACCTGAGAAGCAGGCAGGTCTACCACAGGAATACCTGAGAAGCAGGCAGGTCTACCACAGGAATACCTGAGAAGCAGGGGGTCTACCACAGGAATACCTGAGCAGCAGGCGTGTCTACCACGATGCTGTGCGTCCCATTGCTGTGCACCATCAGTATCTGGCCCGCCAGCGGAGATTCATTCCCCGTCAGGTTTCTATAACCCTGATCACTGCAATGGTTCTTCTTGAAGATGTTCTTCTCATCATGTTCATGCTGATTGTTGTCATTGTCAAGTAAATTGTTATCAAGCATTAGGGTGTTTGGGCCTTCAAGGACCGAATGGAGTGCGCCCACTGATGATCCGCTGAGCATCAAGTCTGACGAGCTTCCTTGTAGTTCCAGAAAGTGGGTTTGCATGCCTGAAGATTGACTGTTGTGCAAGAAAGACTGAGATAATTGCACAGAGGCTCTACTATTAGGCTCCAAAGACTGGGTTTGTGACACTGAAGACTGATTATTGAGCAAGTATGAATGAGATTGAGATTCTGAAGACTGTGCCAAGAGAGCGTTACCTCCGTCACTGTCTGCCAAGGAGTCGCTAAGAAGGCAGAACGACTGTCCATTATTTATACTGCCGAGCAGCACCTGAGACTGGCCAGAGTCCAAGGCATGGCTGAGGGGAAGTAGAATTGAAGAGTCCGACACTACAGGATGCGTCACCAAATCATTGCGCAGAATAAAACTTGTGTGGTTGAGTCCACTGGCCTGATCTCCATACAAATTCAGCTGGTTGCCACCAGGGAAGGAGTTCAGAATTAGGTTAGATTGGTCCACTAAACCTAGAGATGCTGTGCCTATATCCCGTAATCCAACAGCGGAAGAAATGCTTTGGGAATCCTCTTGAGAATTATCTAAGTTTTTAAGAAGTGTATTTTGTAGTGTCTCTGAGCAATGAATGTTCTCAAGATTATTTTCTTGAGCAACAGAAGAATTAATATTACTGAGAAGGGTACCTTGCTGGGTATCAAAACAAGAAATACTTGCATTTTTTGGTCTAGAGTCCAAACACGAGATGTTCAAAATACTATTCTGCTCTGAATCAGAGCAAGGAATATTCAAGAAAATCTCACTGTTGTGTCCAGATGTTTGGTCTTGTATAACAATGTTTCCATCTTCAATGACAACATTTCCAGTGATGGGGTTCCCTTTGGCATCAATAAAGCTGAATGCGTTCAGTAGACTCGAGGAAGGAACAGTGTTGCCAGATGCCGACACATTATTACCAGTAGAAGCTACACTGAAGTTTGCATCAGAGTTGACAAGGCTGATGGAGGCAGGTCCAGAGCTGCTAGGAATGTATGACAAACGCTGCACAGACGAAGAGTTTGTGGAGTCAAACTGAAGATGAAGAGGTGCACGCACTTCAAGTAGACTCCCTGTGAAGAAGTAAACGCTTTCTAAGCTATACATGTATAGAAAATAAATAGCAGATAATTTTCTTTATATTATTAAAAAGTTAATATTGAGAACAGCATTAATTTCAAGGCTTCATAGTTCTTTTATCAATAATTATTTTTATATTATTATACAGTAGGTATTATTAAAAAGTTGAATATTTTTAGAACAAGTTTAGTATTAAGGCTTCATAGTTTAGTTTTTACCAGTTCACCTACCGAGAGATATCATATAAATATACATCATTTCCCAGCAGCCATTTGCAACACACAAATATCACATTTAAGCTCACCGGTTAGCTGGTCGAGAGCGTCCGTGTTGAGGAAATGATGCTCATCTGGCGGGTCAGAGCTGCTGCACACCAGCCCCTCCATGTAGCTGCCTTCTGCACTGCTGCTGCTGTTCATTGTGGTGGGCAGGCAGCTGGCATCTGCTGTTGAGGGAGAGATAAGATTGTGTTGCAACCCTGAAGACTGAGGTAATGAGTGGATTATTTGTAACAGTTTCAATTTAGGATTTATTGTAATATTGATGTCATCTTGATAATCATACATTCATACACCTACAAAAGATATTTAGTTTTGTTTTTGGCCCAATACAATAAGGTAGCGAGGCTTTACTTAAATAATGAATGAAAGATTCTCAGTGAATTTTACCTATTGAAATGAATTTTACTCATTTACCTCCAATTATTGAATATGAAGATTTACCTATTCTCTCAGAATTGGCTATGGATCATCAAGCATTGATTGCACACAGGCAAATATACACTCATTCCATTATCTTCAGAGAACAAATTTAATTTATGTTGATATTCAAAATAATAGAACATAATATGCATATGAAATTTTCAAACACAAGCACAACTTGCCTGCAACAAGAAGCATGGAGCTGCCAGGACTGGAGGCACCAGCCGCATCCATGTGCTCCAGGGACAGGAACTCTGTGGAGGTGGAGTGACTCATCTGCTCCATGGTTCTGTCTGCATCCATTGCTTCTCAGAACTCCCAATAATTTTTATATACTAAAGACTTGCAAGTTGTGTCACAGCATAAAAAGTTTAATTTCAAACTTGACTTTTTGTCAGTCAGGCTTCAATAAGCTTTTAATCAGCAAAAAATCCAACAATCTGCAAAAGATTTATAAATCATTAGGCTTTTAGATTATACAAAAATTATAAATAAACTCTCATTAAAATCTGCATTGAAACAAGCATCTAATTCTTATATTGTTACCAATTCATATTATTTAGGTAACAAATAATATGGTATGGTATCATATTATTTAGGTATTCTTTTTTATTATTTAATTCATATTATAAAAAACATAACTCAGTACTCACTGCTGTGAGTGACAGAGAGCACATTTTCTCGTTGACAAAAATGTGAAGTCACGGATGAAAGGACAGACAAACAGACGGACATGGCGAGCACAACAGTGAATTTTTTCCTTAAATGAGAAAATGTGCTAAAAAGGCTGAACGAATTCTTACAATGTGGTGCAAATGATGGCCTCTTGACCAGTAGACTCTTCACAAAACAATTGCTAAGCTTCTTACTATTGGAAGAACATTTGGCATGTATAGTAAATGTGTCACAATGATGACCTAATGAAAGCTTTGTTTAAATTTAAATACTGATGCCATTTTGCTTACATGGACAATGCCAATTCATGATAATACTTTTGATTGGATCACAGCTTCTCTCCAGAGCATCTCCATTTTAGGATTATAAATGACAGCTTCAGAGGAATAATAAAATCATATGGTATTCTATGCTACCTAAACCAAATAGTATCACTTCATTGACTTCAAGCTAGGGTCAAGTGTCATAGTCTAGATAGCGTCAAGTGTCACAGTCTAGATGGTGTCAGGTATCAAAGTCTTGAAGTATAGCTATTTTATTATAATATAGCTATTGTCAGGTATCAAAGTCTAGCTATTGTCAAGTATCAGATTCAATCTGGTGTCAAGTACCAAAGCTCATGTTATTACTATCATTGTGGAATGGTTGGTCAGTTTCATAGTCATGATTTGTGTATTCATTTTCCATTTCAAGTGACATTCATTGATCAAAATTGATTTGATTGAGTGATCTATATTGATCATAATGTAGCATAGTTTGGATCAACCATTCCTATACCATTAGTTATAATGATAATGAATTTCCCTCAATTGTGCAGCATAATAGGCAACAACCAGCAGCAATGATTGCAACACAGCATATTTCAGGCCAGAATTTTCAACCTCAACCTGTATAGTGGCTTACTGTGCAGTCTGGCCATTCTGCACTAAGACCAAAACTTCATGCCATTTCTGGAGCCATGATGTTGCTGGGCAAGTCTCTTATGTTGTGGTTGAGATGAACTTGTAACCAGTTTCTTAATTTCATTTGACAACAACCTTAATTAAATGACAGACTGGTACTATAGTAATCAATATTGGATAAAAACATTGTATGATAATGAAAAGAGACTGTGACTAAATTTTTAACGGTCAAAGTATGTGTGCTACAGTGTCAGTTTTATGTAAGGAAAAGTATGCTGAAGGCTAGGGAGCTTATAAATGGTAGCAGGCTGGTTGTGGGCAGCAAGCAAGAAGGAAACCAGAGCATGAAAAACACCAAAACAATTCTAATAAAATAGGAACCTCTTAGCAAACTAAGTCAAAAGAGAGAATAATAATAAAATGCTTGATTAATAAATGTATAAGTTATGGAGTTTTCAGGAAAATAACAAAAGTGTACAGTAGCATTCATGAATATCTTGCAAGTAAATGATTGTTGAACTAAGAATGGTACTAAATGCTGAGTGGCAAGATATGATCATCTGTAATTGCGAAGTAACATTCACTGTACTTGATAGAGGTTGATGGAAAACTACAAGACCTGAGTCAATGTCAGGAAACATCACGTGATAGATCACGCAATAGCCCTTATTCTATAAAAGGGCTGGGAACCTTAGTAAGACCCCTGCAGAAGCTGACAAGTATTCATGACATGACGTAACTCACGTTAGAGTTCACCAACCCTATGGCCAGCATCTTGGCTATGCCTGTATTGTATTACCACCCCGTATCAATATAAGTTCTCTAGACAGATGGTTTCTTACTTTTCCCTCATGACCATAGTCAAATAACCCCTAGCAAGTCTGAAGGCACATAAATGACTTCTTGATGGTGGTAAAAGTTGCTACATAGGCTATCATAGCAGGAATTACAATAGAGTATTAAGATTGCAGTTCAGCTATACAACCTTCATTGAATTATTCCACCTTTTGTCTAAAATTCAACACACTCTCTTCTAGCAAAGTTTACTAACTTCAATAGATGCATAAAATAATAGGTACTTTCTGCTGTGGTGGTTGAGTTCTGGTTGACATGACATCCTGTTGCTTGTTTAATGCTAATTTTGTAATAGTTGCTTCAGTTAAATTAATCTTTGCCATTCCCATGTTTCACATGCAATTTAATGTAGCTAACAATATTGAATGGCATTATTCATTGTTAGGGCAAGCATCCCTAACAATGCGCAGATGTAAATCAAAGCATTAATGATCTAGAAGTGAGCTCTACCAAAAAAACATTTCAACATGGCTATACCGTCAACCGGGGCTACTCGGGACAAGCGGGGCTACTCGGGACAGGCCTCCGACACGTCGTAAAACTGTTGTAGTAGCGAAACTAATTGGAATATTGCAAAACTAAAAATAGTGGCGTAAACGTCAACATTTTTCCTAATTTGCCTATCTCATTCCAAAAAGAAATGGCAGCCATTTCTGCACGGCGGGGCTACTCGGGACACCCCCCCGGGGCTATTCGGGACACCCCCAAAAATGCATTTACGGTAGAACCTCAGTTAGCAAAGGTTCCAGTTAAGAAAAAAATTGATTAAAAACAAAGAATATTGATTACATTTACCTTGCTGAGCGAAAAAAAGTTCACTTATCACACAAATTACAAGCTGTCCTGTAAGCTTACAGATACAGAAAAAAATGCTATAAGGCTGCCAATATGAAGCTTGCAGTTAACAAGGTTGTTGTAAATGCTCAATGGCATGTTCATGGATAGGGTAATATCACATCAATAATACAGTAATATCCCATCAATAATAGGGTACCATCAACTGGGGGATTCCATGTGTTCATAATGATGGCCAAAGCGGGTCATAAACGGTCATAAACAATTGTCAAAGTCACTCTGGCATTTATGACCTGGTTTACAACCCTGGCGTTTATGACCCCGGCATTTAAGACCCCAGCATGAATCAAAAAGGAGACCTAAGTCACCCCAGTTGATAGTATAGTTAATGTTTATGGTAATATCATATTGATAAAGGAAAAACAAGTAAAAATCACAGAAAATGTCATTTATTCCACCTCTACATCGTCTACAATGAAAGAGGAGGACTTCAGAGTACTGTTAGTAATGGATGAGTACCTACACTTTGCATGCTTCAAATGTTTTGAAATGAAGTTTTATTCCCATTGTCCCCAGTAGCCCGGACCAAGGGGGCTACTCAGGACAATCTTTATTTTGTGTCTGGCACCTTACAAATAGCATATGGAATTTTTTTTACAATGCTATTCGATAGCCCTCACAAAGAGCTATAAAATGAGCCTAAATTTGTTTATGAAATGTTTCATCATAAGAAGTTATTAACAGTTATTAACAAAAAAATGATCAAATCTATCCCGAGTAGCCAAGTAGCCCCGGTTGACGGTAATTGAATAAAGATCATTACTTGCAATTTAATTAACATAAAATCTCCCAATTAAAAAGTTCATGGTCAATAAAGTTTATATCAACTACAAGAGGCAAACCAACAAAAATAAAATATAAGACATCTCAGGGTTACTTCTGACACTACGGCTTATCAGTTGAATTAACACAAGATTGTCTCCCTCATCTTTGCTGAACTAAGCAGTAAGGATCATAACTATATAAATAAATGAATAAATAGCAGTTTCAGCATTTAGTAGGCCGTAGGCCTATTGCCAATTCTTAACATCGCAGAATATTCACAGCATGTTGCGGTCGCAAACTCGCAACTCACTGCTACAATTTTGCTGTGCTTAAATGCCCGGCCTCCTCGCCGATTCTGACCAGAAACTGGCGCACAGAGCTGGGATCAAACCCGCGCCTCTTTGCGCCAATCTTTGTACACTGAACTGTAACCACTGGGCATAGCCTCACATTCCACATGGCCTCACACTCTACATATACTCAATTGCCGAGTTCAAGGCCGTGCAATGAGCATGCATGAGTGCAAAGAAATTTCTTTCTGCCGCAAAGTGAAGCACAGACTTCCACTCATATAACATAAATAAGCAATAACATTTCCATACCTATAGCTGAAAAATGCCTATTATTAGCAGAGCACACATTCTGTTCTTTGCAAAATGAAAGGATTCACAAGATTAAAGCAACGCATCTTTTTATTCATAACCCTCCTAGTTGCCCTTTCCATTGTCCTTATTCTTCCTTGACAAACTATATTTGTGCAGACTGCTGCACGGCATGGAATCAGATTTGTGCAAACACCTGCAGAAAGAGAAAATATTTATATTGTTTTGCACTAACTGCACAGACCAATGACTTCATAAAAACTCATTATGTGCAGGAAAACTTTCCAAAAAACACACATCATCCAGGGTATGGTACCAGACACAGACAGCAGACTGTACTTTTATCACTTACCGCCTTAGGAGGCAATTCTTCTACTAGGAATCTTGCTGCTCCAAAAATAGTAAGAAGGCTCTAGTTGCCAATTCCCAATTGGAAGGTATATCCAGGCCCATGTCTAAGATTATCCACAACTTCACAAGGACAAGAACAGACAATTTTGCCACATTAATGGGTCATGGGTGGTAAATGGTTTCTGCCAATTTCTAGCTTTGCAATACCTGAATACCATAATAACAATGTTAGTCCTTTCAATTTGAAAGGACTAATATTGACTAATGACTAACATTTGATTATAACAAAGTCTAACATACTATTTGAAAGTTTCAAATAGTATGATTTCAAAACTGGAAAATTTATAGGTACTTTAGTTATTGCAGAAATATTATAGCTTCAAAAAATAAGCTTCCAAGTTAAGTCTAATCAATTAATTTGTAATATTTAATATTGTGGCTTAACTGGGCAATTGGGTTTACAATTAATGAGAAAATATATATAAAATGCATTGAGTGGAAAATGGAAATGTTGTATTTGTTGCGGCTGTAAAATTGGCAAGAACAGGGGGCTCTATTTGTGTTGGTAAAGTAGGCATTTTCAGACAGTAAACTCTGATCCTGATGCCTATGACTTTAAGACTAAAAGGCTGTAAGTGAATTATTGTAAATTAAAATTGGAATTATGAATAGGCTAGGAGCAACAGCAACTGGATGGAATGAAGCGAATTTAAATTTGAAGCGTTATTGCTTTCCATTTAATAATGAACCTGTCAGTTTTAGCTAATTTACAAGTGACTTTTCACTAATTTTTCAACCAGGACATTTGGATAATCAACTTGGTATTTAGACTTTGACTTTGATGATGGATCAATCATCAAACCCATCGAAATGATCGAATTCGAAGTCAAAGCAAATAGCGTCTAAATAGCTGGAGAATTAAATCTTTCATTCATATTGTTAGACGAAGTAGCAACTTGCAGCACAAGTTGATGTGGTATGTTGTAAATCTTGGTCATTATCTCTCAGAGAAATATATGATCAATATTATAATAATCTATTTCCCCAAAGATGTGATGAACAGCTGCCATACATTCATTCTTTTCAGCAGCTCAACATGTTTTGACAGAAGTTTGTTTACAAAGAATCATGATATCATTCCGCCAATGGTATCCCTACGTAGCTAGTCCCATTTACAATGTCAGAACGAAAGACGAAAGGATGCAACATACCTTAATATTTAGGTAGTTGGAAGATTTTACATGAAGTTGCTATATTTAGAATGTTGGATGGATATTGACTAAACTAGTCTCAGTAATTTGTTGATTTTTGGGAAGTGGTTTATAATCAACGAATACAAGATGGAGGTTCTCCGTTCACACCAGTCGAAAACTCAATTTGCAGAAAACGTAAATTCTTTCTCTGGTATACTATTTTTGATGAATTATTGTGTGAAAAATTGAGTTTCACATAGATGTCAAAAAATGTAAAATAAATTTAACGGCATTCGAATATTTTCAACTCTGTTATTTTTTTTTCATAGAAGTATTTTCCCTGTCAGTCTGACAAGTGTTGTTTGTAAGCTGATGGAATCTGTTGTGAGGGATAGGATTATCGATCACTTGACTGCTCACCATCTCATATCAGATTGTCAACATGGTTTTATTGCCGGCAGATCCTGCACCACTAACTTATTATCTACGTTGAACGATTGGACTCGCCTGCTGGACGAAAGGGAGCCAGTGGATGCATTGTACCTCGATTTTGCCAAAGCATTTGACAGTGTTCCGCATGAGCGGCTGTTGCGTAAAGTGAAGTCCTTGGGGATTGAGGGAAACGTACTCCAATGGATCAGAGATTTTCTAGTAGGTAGACGACAACGTGTCAGTATTAACGGAACCGTGTCAGACTGGGCATCAGTGCGCAGTGGCGTGCCACAAGGAAGCGTCCTGGGGCCTATTTTGTTCGTTGCTTTTATAAATGATCTGCCAGAAGTAGTATCCAGCGTGTGCTCCATGTATGCCGACGACACAAAAGTTTATAATACAGTGAAGAATGCGTCAAATAAAGCGCAATTGCAAGATGATCTTGACAGCTTAGTTAACTGGGCTGATACGTGGCAGCTGCGGTTTAATGCTGACAAGTGTAAAGTACTTCACCTCGGGAAGAACAATGAACAGCAAGATTACAGTATGAGAAGACATGGTTGCAACGAGAGAGTAATGATTGAAAAGTCTAGTGTGGAAAAAGATCTCGGAGTTTATGTCGACAAGGAGCTGAAATTTTCTAAGCATGTTGAAACGCAAGCTAACACATCCAACAAACTTCTTGGACTAATCAGACGCTCATACGAGTTCCTAGATGCAGAAACGATGAAGCAGTTGTTTGTTGCCGTCGTACGCCCGAGTCTAGAGTTTGGAAACGTTGTGTGGTCACCGAGATTTGAAAAGGACAGAAATTTAATAGAGAATGTTCAAAGACGTGCAACAAGGATAATTCCAGGCTTGAAGGGCAAGTCCTATGAAGAAAGATTGAAGATTATGAAGCTTCCAAGCCTCAGTTATCGACGTCTGCGTGGGGACCTCATTGAAGTATACAAGTATACTCATGGTCTATACAAGGTCCCTGAAGGGTTACTAGAATTTGAAACAAGAACCAACACCAGGGGCCACGGCTATAAGCTAAAAAAATTGCGCTGCAACTTCTCCACGCGACAAAATTTTTTCTCGCTTCGAATCACCGACATGTGGAACGGCCTCCCCGATGACATCGTTGGCGCTCCAAGTATGAACGCGTTCAAGAACAGACTAGATAAAGCTATGGAAAAATATATGTTCAGATTTGAAATGCCTAGCTCCTTATCGAACCCGGTGGAAGTCTAGTAGCTACTTCAAACTATCGCCAGTCACGAAAAGATCCGGGTAAATAACACGATATTAGATCTTCTGTGAACAAGGCACGAAAAGGAAAAGAATCGGCGACAGGCCACATCAGGCCTACACTTCAGCGCCGACATCACTATGTTATGTTATGTTACAGTATGATTAGACATGGTTGCAACGAGAGAGTGATGATTGAAAAGTATAGTGTGGAAAAAGATTTGGGAGTTCATGTCGACAAGGAGCTGGAATTTTCTATGCATATTGAAACGCAAACTAATAAATCCAACGAACTTCTTGGACTGATTAGACGCTCTTACGAGTTCCTAGACGCAGAAGCGATGAAGCTATTGTTTGTAGCTTTCGTGCACACGAACCTAGAGTTTGGAAACGCCGTGTGGTCAACGTAACTTGAAATTGACAAAAATCTAGTCGAGACTGTTCAAAGACATGAAAATATGTAATTTAATTCTAGGCTTGAAGGAACTGTCTTATGAAGAAAGATTATAAAGCTTTCAAGTCACCGTTATCGACGTCTGCATGGTGACCTCATTTAAGTATATAAGTATACTCATGGTTTACCTATGCAAGGTCCCAGAAGGATTGCTAGAATTTGAAACAAGAACACTAGGGGCTACGGCTGCGTTGCAACTTATCCACGCGGCAAAATTTCTTCGCGCTTCGAATCACCGACATGTGGAACAGCCTCGATTACATCGTTGACGCTCCGAGTATGAACGCGTTCAAGAACGGACTAGATAAAGCTATGGAGATATATATCTTCAGACCTAAATGCTTAGAACCAGATTGAATCTGGTGGAAGTCTAGTAGCTATTTGAAACTATAGTCAGTTTTGAAATGATCCGGTCAAAAGGATTGTTTTTAGATCTCCTGTGGTTAAGTCTCGAAAAGTGCAAGAATCAGCGACAGGCCACATCAGGCCTATTCTTCAGCGCAGACATCACTGTGATGTGACATGACAACAGCAAAAAGGCCAAGTAATTGAAAGCTTTAAGATGGTGCTAAGCCTTGTATTGGTACACAACAATAGAGAATCAAATTTATAATTGACTGGAAATCAATAGAGAATGAAAATTGAATATTAGAATATTGACGGTTATGGTTGTTAATTTCTATAGAGGGAATTAAAATTATTTTGTGAACATCGTTTATTCTTTTGCTGTAGGAGAAAATTATTCACAAGTCACATGTAAAATATGCGCATCATGTAAGAATACATGAAATCTTGTTAATTTTCAGGATAAAGTCTATGAACAACGAAAAATATATGGAGGTTGTCCGTTCAGCCTGACAAAATATAATGAAAAGACAAAATATTTCGTTCTGCTGGGATATACTGTAGCTTCATTGAATGTGGGTCAATTTGTTTCTGCATATAAAAAATTGAAAAAATTCTTATTTTTGTGCCATTTTTAACTTGGTTGGAGATTTTTTACTAAAAAAAATTGGGTTAAAAAATTCGTTTAAGATATATGAATAAAAACCGTAAATTATGTGAGACATTTGTCCAAACGTGAATCAGAAGAAATCTTAAAATTAGAGAAACAAAATGTGAACGAAATACTTAAACGGCGCAGTGACAACGCGAGCTAGCCAAAATACTGAGCTGAAAGCAATTAATATTCCAGCTTGATGGTTTACAAATGAATAATGCCAAAATAGCATAAGAATCTTCCTTTCCTTTTCATCACGCACCATTCCTCTACGAGACACTGACTACGACAGAAGAGTGAACCAATGTGTTTCATAATCTAAATTTAATCATGCAAATTTATCCAATCAAAATTCAATTTTAGCGATGCAGTCTACTTGTGATCAACATATGATTTGCAAACATCCAATATCATATTGATTCAGACGCCATTTCTACGAGCGCCCTGCAGGTCGTGGGGGGAGGACCTACAGTGCAGGTTAGTATAGAATTAAACAGCTTCAAATGAAGGCAAGTTATTGTGAAGTTAAATTAGTTAGCGCTTCAAATTATGGGTTACATGCCATCAATATAAATAAAACAAATCTCATGAGCCTGTAAAGAAACATTGGGGTAAACCGAAGCTAGCCGTTAAAAAATCCTTTTGAATCGTACAATCAATCTTATAAATCTCGAGAATCAAGGCCACAAGATTCACGATATGAATATCTGGTGATGAAAACAGTGGATAGATGCTAATCAAAATAATAAATGTTAAAAATCAATAAAAATAATACAAAATAAGATGCCTCACGAAAATAGAAACTTCGGCGAAACTTGTAAAATTAAAAAATGAAGTGAAATAAAAAATGTCTTTAGATTCTATAGCTGAAATCAAAATATCAACAGTGAAACCAACAGTCACGTTGAAACAAATCCAGTAACTCCTCTCTGAATTTTTTTTTTCTAGCAGGTGGAATTTATTCATTTTTTCGAACTCTAGGACTAAACAAGTATTTTACTAACTACACGGAAAAAACATTCCATGTAAAAAAACATTAAAAAAAACATTCCGCGCTGACATTCTTGCGTCGCGGTTCCCTTTCGCCTCAAAGTAATGGCGCTGTGCTCCCGAACATTTATCTCTAATTTAGAGGTTAGTTTTTCTTCGATGCTTGGATTTCAACTGCAGCCAGTGCATCACGAGTCTCGTAAGAATGTACGAGCGTGGAGACATTTGTACGCGATGGTCCCAAATCACTTTTTTGACTCCGCAAAGAATAGCTGATCCCACTGCCTTCACGATGAGGCGTACTATCTTTGTACACCTGCTGGTACTGCGGCCTGAGAACCCCATTCGAGAATCTGTGCTCAATGTGTCCAGAATTTTCAGGTACGTGGCGGGAACTTTCGCTGGATAAGTCTCTAGGGGTGGAAAGCTTCATGTTATCGATTGAAGGTGGAGAGTCAACTTCCATTTTTTCCACGTCGCCGTTGTCATCTATGCTTAAATTACAGAAGCTTTGTGCCAAGCCTCCTTCAATCTGCCATAAGCTGCCGTGTTTTGAGGTGGAAGAAGTTCCGACCGCACCGAGAATTTCGTCTGGATGTAAAACTTCGGTCTTCATCGAGCAGAGAAATTCTTCCAGTTGCCTGTGTAAATTGTCTTTGAATTCAGAAAAATTACTGGGGTTTGAAAGTATTTTGTGAAATACATGTTCATAAAATGTGGGTACCTTACGGAATATGTTCTGACTTATTGATTCAAAGGTTGGTTGATTATACTCAGATGACTCATCAGTGTTGACATAACTTTTAATGTGTTTAGGACTGGAAGACATTTGACTCTTAGCATCTCTTTGTTTCAAAAAGCAAGCTGATCCGTCAGAGTTTGATGGTGGCCGCTGCGGCGGAGCTTTAACGATACCAGCTTTTAGTTGCGGAAACATACTGTTAACAGAAGTTTTGTTTGGCAGCGCAGATTTGTTATTTAAGATCGATTCCTTTGTTCCTGAGAGAAAAGTCCCAGAAAACTTGCCGTCTGATCCTGCATTCCTCCTTTCGAGCTGTTTGCTGGCCATTTGTGTGGCACGGACAGTCGATACGACGCTTCTTTTGGTAATTAAATGATCAGGCATCTTATTTTTCTCTGTGCCATTTTGGGTGCCTTGGGCAAACGAAGTTTTTGCTGTGAGAGGAAGTTTGCTCGAGAACGAGCTTGACCGGTATCGACGAGGACGCGAAAGTTCATGCGCCTCGGTACGAAATTGAGACCTCGTCCTGAGCCGAGTGGAATGAATTGTCTGGTTTTTAAACAGAGGACGACCGCGTTCTGAGGGACAGGGGACGATTGCATCCCTATCCGCACAAGCGCATTGAAAGTTTTCGTCCTTAACCTTCGATGATGGCCGCGGGTCCTTGTTCCTGTCTTTCGATGCAGATCGCCTGTCACCGTGTCCGTCTCGTGATGCAGATCGTCTGTCACCGTGTCCGTCTCGTGATGCAGATCGTCTGTCACCGTGTCCGTCTCGTGATGCAGATCGTTTGTCACCGTGTCCATCTCGTGATGCAGATCGTCTGTCACCGTGTCTGTCTCGTGATGCAGATCGTCTGTCGTCTGGTCCATCTTGTGACACAGATCGTTTGTACTGAGATCCGTCACTTGCTTCTGATCCAATTCTTGACGATGATCCCTCAACATCATTACTCAAAGAATAAATTTCGCAGGTGCGTAAAGGTTCTCCTCCAAATGAGGTTTGACCACCAACTTCGTTTTTCTTCATATTGTTTTCAGTCGAAATTGAGGCATTCATTAAGGTAGCTTCATGACTTCTTGATGCAATAGAATTAAGAACGACAGTTCTAGAAAACAAAATCTTACCATCCGCTCCATAAAATTGGTTATCCGTCCTGTTAGCTTTTTTGTTGTCAGAGTCTCCAGAATTAGGGGCTTCTTCGAATTGATTCTTTGACAAGTGCGACAACGTACTGTCCAATCCGTGGTTCTGAACGTTCACACTCGATTCTTTTGACTTTGCTTCCACAAATTTCTTGCTTTTGTCGAGAAGTTCATTTTGAGAATTGCCTATTTCCTTTTTAGGTTCCACAGCAAGTAATTTGATCCTGTCTAATTTTTCTCTAACTTGAGTCAATTTCTCTATCTGAGCATTAAAATCTTGAAGCGAAGCCGCCTGTGCGTCTTCTATCCATTCGAGAGTGACGTCGCACAAATGTGTTGTCTCAGATATTTCTCCTCTTGATACCAACTCTTGGACATCGCATAGAGCCGCTTTAACTTCGTAGACCAGGGATTCCAGTTGCGTCTCAGCATCGACGCGATTTTTTTCGTTTTCAACGTCCTTGCGAAATTTGTTAGCTACATCAATCCATTCTTTTAGCACGCCTGGAGGATAATAATTAGTGCACATCACTAATCCGTCAAGAATTTTGCCATTTACTTCTGCTTGAACCTCAAGAATACCACTTGCGTCGGCATTCACGACTAAAAAACCACAGTCGGCGAGACTGAAAAATTCCTGGCTGCGGGAATAGTGCACATGAAAGGTTTTCTTGTTTCCTCCTGTGTAGCAACGTTCATACAAGTTACGCATGTAATGACTGTTGCTGGAGGTAATATTGATCTTTCGGGATAACGGGATGCGCTCGTACAAATCGACGAGTCCCTTAGTGCTATAGTCACCAATGGTAGCAAAAGCCGTCACGTCTTGCACACCGATTGAAGTCCCAGATTCTTGTCCACTTAATGTCGCAGCCCGTAAGGCGGCGCCCTGTGCCACAGCCTCGTCTTGGTTCACCGTTTGGTCCAACTTTCCCGGACCGAAATATTCCTCGAGGACGGCCCGCACCAACGGCATGCGTGTTGCACCTCCGACCAGCACAACCTTACTGATCACATCTTTGGCTAATGATACCTGTCGGAGAAGATGATCAAATAAGCTTGACACCTCACGGCGGATGTCAGACTTAATGAGTAAATCTAAGTCCTTTCTCTTGACGGTGAGGCTTACGTCTACGTTGCAGAAGAGATTCTCGAGGATAAACTGAGCCTCTGGAAGCAAAGTCAGAGTTTTCTTAGCTTTCTCACACGCAATGCGCAGTCGTTCAAGTTGCTTCTTCTCCTTCACTCTGTAGTTATGTCTGCCGTGAATGACTCCCACACAATGGCCAACCAAAGCATCGTCTAAGTTGCAGCCACCAAGGTTTGTGTTTCCAGCAGCAACCACAACTCTCACCGATCCATCCCTCACCTCCATGATGGACACATCCAGCTTACCCGCCCCGAAATCCACCACCGCGATAACCGCGGGGGTTTTGACGGTGCGGTTGTCCGCGAAGGCGACCCCCGCCGCGGTTGTTTCGTTGATCAGCTCAAGAACTTCAAGTCCTGCGACTTGCGCGGCGTATTTTACCGCGAGTCGCTGCGCGTTGCCGAACGAAGCCGGTACCGAGATGACCGCGCGGTCTACGGAACAACCCAGAGAGGATTCCGCGATGTCCTTCATCCTCCCGAGCAGCATGGCGGCCACCTGCTCGGGTCTCAGCCTCTGATCATGATTTTTGTAATGGACGACGTACTCGAATCTATGTCCTCTATGAGTTGGTCGAATATGACAAGGAGAATAGCAGTCCTTCACTTCGTCGTATGTCCTCCCCAGGAAGCTCTTGACGGAGTGCACGGTGTTGGCGCAGTTCACAACGGCCTGGTCCAGGGCATCGCTGCCCACTAGTCGCTGCTGGGAGTTGAAGGCAACACAGGAAGGCGTCGTCCTTTGCCCCAACTCGTTCTCCAGGACGTCCACCCGACCGTCGCGCACCGCAGCCACGCAGCATTTGCTCGTCCCGAAGTCGATGCCGATCGCCGCAGGTCTCGGCCGGCCGCCCCCCTCCGGCGGTGGCGCGGGGTCCACGGGGGGCATGGAGACAGGGCTGTCGCCTGCACACGAGATGAAACTAATGAACATAATCGGACAGACAAAAATAAATGACGTATACATTTTAGCGATATCCTTCTGGTTTAAACAACAACGATTTAACCGTAAAATTTTGTCATTTCTTCGGCACGAAAAATGTAGTATGGAATAGATGGAAATAGCCAGAGGTAAGACGTGAGCGAAAGAGGATAATACGTTGCTTGCAGGAGAAATTCTCAACCTTCACATTCCACTTGCTTCAAAATTAGGCGACTTCAAAAAATTTCATCATTATATTATTCTCTTTCTTTCGAAAATACGCGTTTAGTTCTAAATTTAGCCATTAAACTCGGTACCACTTTAAGAATAGTATTTTCAATACAGTGGTTTAATAACTTATCAGCAACTGGACACGAAAACCCTTGTAGCTGATAAAATCAAAGTTCTCTTCGATCACTCAAATCGACTCTCTTAGTACCGCTCTGCAGTTCAGAAATTTCCGCTAACAAGATCAAATGCAAGCTTGTAATCATCTGTCTCCTCAAGTCGCTGACTGAACGCCGCATCCCGTCATAGCGCTCGTGTATCGCCGACTGAGTCTCGTCTCGTCCTGGCCATTTTGAGCGGTCGAGACGCTCATATCTCGTGCACCACTCGACTGTCTCGGCAACTTTGAGTGTTCAGGACCGCAGTTTTCAGTCCACAAGTGTCACGAAGCAGCACCTGCTCGCCTGTCTGTATTCCTGCGACCTGTAGCCATGAGCAGCACCTGCGCACCTGTCTGTATTCCCGCGACCTGCACCCAAGAGCAGCACCTGCGCGCCTGTCTGTATTCCTGCGACCTGCAGCCATGAGCAGCACCTGCGCACCTGTCTGCCTTCTTTCTTTCTCTTGACCTCAAACCAAACAAAAGCTTGTGCTCTTAATAATGGAAAAAAAAACTGTAAGAAGGGTCAATCACTTTAATCACTTACCAAGTAATAAAATCTGCAATAGTAACATATGATTATTAAGATTATTATTTTATTTCAAGCATGTATAACTGCATGCAACCATGTCGTATTTTTTTCCAAGAAACATGATAAGCTGCGATTTCATAAAATCGCTATTTGATGATTGATCAAGTAGTTCGAACAGCTTTGCCTGGTTCTTCACTATATTTACAAGAAATTGATATATTCCAGTAGCATATTTTCACGAATAATTTCCATCCACATTAAATACTTTCCATTTCCGTACAGGACAGCCCCAACAAGTGTAGGACAAGGGTTAACAGATTAGGATGCTGCACAATTGCGCAAAATATTCAGACAGAATTTTGTGCTACATGCCAGCACAGTTAGGCTTACCATTCAAAATAAAATTTCCCGATAAAGAAAAAAAAACAATAAATAAGAAGCGTATCCAAATAAATGCCTGGCACTATAATCTACACACATCTCAAACCCCCATATTATAATTTGCGCCAAAAAGATTAACAATAAAATAAATTTACGCAATTGTCATTGTGTTGGTTTTGCTTATTTCGTTGCAATCTGCCAAATAAAGTAGTCAGGAATGACTTAATGAATAAGCAGTTAGGAATATAGTTGACTAATAATAATAAATAAACAATCGTGTATGAAATTCAAATTTGTATAATTTATCGATTGTTGGTGAATATTGAACGGGTAAATCTGAAGAGTCGGTAGTTTTCTAATCGTAGGAAAATATCTATTTACAATAAACTAACGCACAAAAGCCTAATCCGATTATTACTACGTATACCGTGAGCAACAGACTAAACGACATTTTGGCTATATTTAACGAAGTAAATTGTAGAGACTGTTGTTGAAATAGCAAATGGATGTTGTGAAACTTGCAGTTGAGAGCACCATGATTGGATCAGCGAGTTACAGGTTCGAAAGTCGAAACCCGCAACTAGTTATGAAAATTATTTTAGTAATTGGCAAAGGGTGTGGGTAGTTAAGACTTAAGAATCGTCTACAGGCAAACGTGGCCTTATCAAAGCTGACGCCACTATGATATATTGTATTATTGCATTTTATTGCAACACTGCGACAGCACAAGCGAGTGTTATCTTGAGATTACTTGGCCTTCAATCAGCTTATCTCTTCACATACAAAATTCTTGCACTGGGACGACAGGCTCCTCTGCCCTCATGTTCCATACTTTGTGTTTGCATTACATGACCACTGACCAGGCACAGTTAGTGTACCTAATTGTTAGGGATCCTAATTGGCATAAACCGACGCCATCACATGACATAGACTGCTAGAGTCATAGACAAGCGTGCACTCAAGTAACGACAAAACATGCAACGAGAGAAGACTACATGCATTACTTATATAATAAGCTGAGTTATATTGCTAACCAAACGGATAAAGTAAGACTGAGAATAATTCATAATTGCTAGAACCACATGTAATAATTCAATACGATTCAGCATATCTTGAGCAGGCATGAACCTGATACGGAAGAATGATGGCCTAACTTCAACGTAGCCTAAACTGCACTTAATTCCGTGTTGATATTCGTTCGTTTACAGGCAAGCGAGCGCTGAGCCGGGGGCGCAGCCGTGCAGGCAACGAAGAGCTAACACAGATTTCGCTGAATATTTCATTATGTGCTGTTACTGCTGTATATATTGTATTGACGACGGTTTCATACCTTATTTAGGTGCTAGAGTCAGCCAAATCAACATGACATATTTGGCTTGATAAGTCCAATACGCAATAGAAAATATTAATTTATTGTTTCGTTATCAGTTGTTCGGCGCAAACTTGGTCTTCACCCAAATTGTGATGATGATATTATACTGCGAGTTTGATATCGAATTTGAACAAATATAATCGATTAAAAGTACAAATACAACCACTAGATCTCCTAATCAATAAAAAACTGAGCTGAATCAGTAAAATCCAATTCACAATGGGATAACATACCTTAAGTTGGATGTATGAGAGCACGTCAAGTGTAACTTCGCTTGAAGTGAACTCTGTACGTAGCCAAGATCGCGCAGGTCTGGAACCAAAGGATTGTTTAACTTGTGTTTTATGGGTTCTTAGAGTACAAGAAATAACTCACGATATTATAAATAGTTTTTTCGCACTCAGAATTAATAACAGATCCTAAAACCTGATATTTACAAGTCTATTTATCACACCAAGTAGCTACTCTCCCTCCACTGTCTTGCTGTAATCTCGTTTGATTCAGCAGGCTGAGCAGGCAGCGGCGGCAGTGAGACACTGAGTGGCGGAAACGAACTGCAATAGAACGAATTATTACCGAGTGTCGCCGTGCGTGAGATTCGATGCTCATACGGTCAAATATGAGAAGAAATTCAAATTTAGAGCACCATTATATGCGTAAACATTAACAATTGCGAATTATTTTAAATAAAAGTCGACCTAGCTGCAACCAAGTGAGCTACGGCTGAGTTATTCCACGTTCCTGAGGCTGTAGCACGCTACGGACAAGCAAATCGTTACAAAGAAATAATTGCAACAGATTCGCTGGTGAAGGAGAAAAATAGAAAGATTACAACAAACAAATTCTTCACTTCGATATAAAAAAACGAATACATCGAACTTTGAGTCATAGAACTGATGGGAATAATTTAAAAAGAGATCAATGAGCACGAGCTCGGTCCGTAACTCGTTCGTAACAGCATTGAACGAGCGCGCTGCCAGGTACCGCCATACACCATCATCAATGGAGCAGGAAAGTTAACTGCATTTAATATAATCTATTACCGTTTCTTCATATTGTTTGATAAGTATCACCTCTTAACTGTAAACCGTAATATATTTTTATAGATTACGTTTATCTAGATTAGAACTTAGGCAGTCGGCACTGCTCAATGCTCATCAGTCGTCAGTTATCACGTCATTCTTGTGAGGTTATACGAAGGGAAGGTGTGTCACGTGCGAGCTCAGGTTTGTGATATTATTTACCCTATTATTGGACCATCCATAATTGAATTGCCATTGAGAAAACATCCCTAAGAATACATCATCATTGGTGAAGTTGAGGTTGTGCGGTAGAATATTTCTCAATTCACGACGGTGACGATAATTCGATCTTCGTGCACATGTCGTGAGGAATTCGTTAGATGTGCTGACTCGAAGGTCGGGCTCTAATAACGGACTAAACGGAGTGATTGATATTTATGTATAATGAATAAGAATTTATTTATGACGATCTTTTTTATATCACTCATGTTGTTTAATTCAGCTGTGTTAAACTTGACAATAATTTTAATCTGTTGTTGCTTCAGAATGGTAATTTTTTAATTGTGATGTAAAGTTTGGAGTGAATAGGCTATCATATTTTCTATTCACGATTCAGTCATTAGTGTTGGATTATTGGATACAATCCCGCCTATAATGGTTTAAACATTTGCTTTACGTGAAAATTGTTAAAAATAATAAGATTTATATGAGAAGTAAGTGAATTTAAGCTAACTGCAATTATTGGAAAACATTTCTAGGCTCAAAATCAAGGAGATTAGGGAGAAAATCTAGAAATATATATAAACATTTCGGCACTATCACTATATCTTTTGAAGTTCTGACCAATAATTGCGGCCATTCAAGCGATACTGTATTCTAACCTTGAATGCATCGTCGTTGTCATGAGCCATACCTACACAACGATTCTCTCTCGATATACAGAATTAGGTGACCTACCTATCTTCTTCAAAGTTTTAAATATATCTGTCCCACTTACTTAGACAATATATTATAAATATTTGATGATTCTGTCAAAAATACGAGCTAGTATTATGAAGAATTTCGAGGTCAGAACATTAAAATCGTCAGAAATTGATGAAATAAATGGTTGTCATATATGTCTATTCCAATGTTCGACTGCTGTGCTCCATTAGCGCTGATGCAAGTCGTATCACACCTTGACTAACTTCACGCATGAATCAATCCCTGACAAATGTTACATGTGAGCAAAATTTACATTTCACCCGAAACTAATGTTTTCTCATAATTGCAGATCAATTCTATTTCCGAGCTGCTGATATCCCGAGATGGCGGCGAAGCAAGACTACGCGATCGGCATCGACTTGGGCACGAGCAACTCGTGCGTGGGTGTCGTCAAGAACGGACAAGTGGTCATCATCGCAAACGAACAGGGCGACCGCCTCACGCCGTCGTTTGTGGCTTTCACGGACGAGAAACGACTTATTGGTGAGTCGGCCAAGTACCAACGCTCCATGAATCCTGTCAACACAGTATACGAAGTGAAGAGACTCATAGGACGCAAGTTCAGCGATGAGGCAGTTCAGAATAAAGTTCCCCACTGGCCGTACCGCGTTGTCAACGACAACGGCAACCCCAAAATCTGCGTCCAGTACCGAAGGACGGAAAAGATTTTCACTCCCGAAGAGATTTCTGCTATGGTGCTGGCCAAAATGAAGGAGATCGCCGAGACTTACTTGGGATGTGAAGTGAGGAAAGCTGTTATTACAGTGCCTGCGTACTTCAATGACTCACAACGGCAAGCTACCATCGATGCCGGTACCATCGCTGGTCTCCAGGTAATGAAAATCATCCCCGAACCAACGGCTGCCGCCATTGCGTACGGGGAAGACACCAGGGTCTCCAAGGAGACCAACATTCTGATCTTCGACTTCGGCGGCGGGACTTTCGATGTGTCAATCCTGATAATGAAGAAAGGCAATTACGAAGTGAAATCTGTTGAAGGAAACAGCCAGCTTGGAGGAGGGGACTTGGATTCTCGTGTTGCTCGATTTATAATCGAGGAATTCGAGAAAAAAACTGGGCTGGATGTATCTAAGGACCCGAAAGCTCTAGCAAAGATCACAAAAGCTGCCGAAAGAGTCAAGATCAATTTGTCTTCTCAAGTGAGGGACCGAATTCAAATCGAGTGCTTGAGTCAAGGCCAAGATTTGGACTTGGGTTTGACCCGTAACAGGTTAGAGTTGCTCTGCGCCGACATTTTCGACGAAACCTTGCAGTGCGTCGACACTGCGATTGCCAACGCCGGGATGACAACCGATGAAATTCACGAAGTGGTCTTGGTCGGAGGCTCGGCCAGGATCCCCAAACTCCAAAAGATGCTCAAATATAAATTCCCAACGAAAAAAATTAAAATGACCATCAACCCGGCAGAAGCTGTCGCGTACGGCGCTGCTGTTCAGGCAGCCATGCTCAACAACGACCGGAGTGTTGAAGACATTCAGCTGTCTGACGTTACCCCTCTGTCCTTGGGAGTGACTCTTTTTATGGACAGAATGAGCACAATAATCCAACGAAACACCAAAATGCCAGTTACGATAACGAAAACGAATTACACGACCGTCATTGATTCTCAAAAATCCATGAAAGTCTTAGTTTATCAGGGTGAGAACTCCGTTGCCTCAAAGAACAATTTGTTGGGCGAGTTCACGGCTGAAGGAATCGAATTAGTAGCTGCTGGTGTCCCTACAGTTGACATAACGTTTTCCTTGGATAAAAACGGGATTTTGAACGCGACCGCCGTGGACACGAAAACAGGAGGCGAAGGCCACGTGAGTGACCATCTCAGTGAATAAAGGCCGTCTTTTGAAGGAGGACATCGAGAGGATGATGGTCGAGATGAAGGATATCGATGAAAAGGAGGATCAGCATCGTGCATTAATGGACGCTTCTGCCTCTTTGGAGGAAACGATAGTGAAGAAGAAGGATCTTCTTGAACGTAAGAAGGGCCTCAAGAAAATATCTCAAAAAGGCTACGAGAAAATCAAGAAGGTGTGCGAAGAAGCCGAGGTTTGGTTGGAGGCTCACGGCGACGCAAGCAAGGATGAGTTTGATGATAAGGAGCAGCAGTTCAACGAGTCTTTCTCTGAACTCTTGGCCGACCTCAGCTTCTGAACTGCTGCTTGTTACGTGGCAGCAGCAGTCCAATTGCTGCTTGTTACGTGGCAGCAGCAGTCCAATTGCCGCTTGTTAGGTGGCAGCGGCAGCTCAAGACTCCATCACGCGTTAAACAATTTTGAATATTTTACTGCGCATTTAATTAGTGCACCGCAATAAACTGAAATAATCATGAATAAATCGACGCGTCCGTAGGCAAGGAGGACGAAGTGTGGGATCAGGGCGCAGCCGTGAGCATTTCATGCTGTTTATTTTTAGGACTGCATTATTTTAAGAGACTTTATTCCGTAAGCTTGATGAGTTTTTTTCTTGGGGCGTCGATTCATTCCAATTTACTCCTTTAATTAAATATTAATTAAACTTCTTGTATGCTTTCTTCAAAATATTTCGCAGTAAGTACCGGAAGTAAACTTTCAGCGGAGTACTTTGATTCGTGTTCTACAGGAGCCTCCCTTTAAACGTAAGGAATGCTAGTCTAATTTTAATTTTACCAAAAGTAAACAGAATGATAATGATTTTCATAGAAAATTCTTCATTAAAGGTACGTTCACATGTTACTAAATATAGTTTGCTATTCATTTATCTTTCATCTGTCAGTTTCAGAACGGACGTTTTTCTTGCAAGGCGTTTCCTTCGGAATAAAATTATTTAATTTCTAGAATTGCGATGGTTTAACGGACATTGTTTTCCCTGTCAACGCATCAAACTATAAATCGTTGATTTCGCACAAATCTGTGAGTTTTAATTGATGCTTTCCTAAAACCATAAAGTGTGTCAATTTTGCGGGGTAAAATAATTAGAAAAATTTAAACTCCTATAATTTTTCTGATTAATTTAATAGAAGGTCTTATCTTGCATTACTTTTCATTTCTCCCAATATTGCCCATTGTGATTACATGTGAGGAGATGTGAGTTTATGATATTATTATCGCATCAGAAGGCACAGATGAATATAAATACCAATAATAATGAATGCAACATAAATACGATATGAAAAGTTATCATCAATGATATCTACCAAACTTAGCTGAACGACGCTGGTCTGCTTCGTTAGACTCAGCAAATGACGCGGTCATGGACTGAAGTCTGTGGGAATAAACATCGTCCATTCCGCAGACGAGGGAAATACGACGTGATCACAAAACAGAACCCGGAAAGTTGTCTTCTTTAAGGCGCAAGAAAGAGTTCTGTTCTAACCATTGAGGCAAGAGGTTCCTTGTGCTAAGCTCCCGTGACAGTAGCCGGCTTCGGCCGGCTGCTACGTCATCCTTTCTAGAACTATCTTTCTCGAACTTTGAAAATGCCGTACTGTCCCGCTCCGAGGCGTTGAGCCGGCGGATGCCATGGTACGACCAGCTAAAGTGAAGTTTAACTCCTGAAGTTCTGCTCCCCTGAAGTTGCCAAATTCGTTATTTTTGTGCTCCTCTGAAGTTGCCAAATTTCATTACAAAAATTTTAAGATGCCTCCATGTGTGGTTAGTACCCCCGGCCCCCGGGTTCGTGGTTAGTGCCCCCAGGTGAGTGGTTAGTGTCCCCAGGTAGTGGTTAGTGTCCCCAGGATGGAGTGGGGCTTTCTGCCCTGGAGTGGGGCTGTCTGCCCTGGAGTGGTGCTCTCCGCCCCGGTGTGGTCTCCACTTTGGTGGCCCCGTTCTGCAACCCTTCAGCCATGGAGAAATCTTGAGTTATTTTTTTTTCATTGCACCCAATTTTGTACAAGAATACATAATTCAGTCAAGTTCCTTCAAGTCTTCAACTGTTCTGACATGGGGCCGCATTGAACCAGTCTTCAGAGGCTCCCATAAATTCTAATTAAAGAAAAAGAAGGCGCAAGAAACAGGAGAGTGTGCCTCGGAGAAGTGCCTATGCGCGCAGATTGCTGGGCTGCGGAGGTGCTTAGGCGCGCCGAGGTGGCGGCCGCCGCTGAGGTGTGGACTGAAGACGCCGCTGCTGAGAAACATCTTCGTCGTTGGGGACAACTGACAGCGCGCGAGGAAATATACGTATTGCAGATGGTTTCCCACTAAACGAAGTCCATGCAACGGCCACCAACTAATAGGATTGATAAGTTGGGGAAATTAGTCTTTGTTTTAAGTAGTAATATTAATGAGCAGCCATGCACCCCGCCCCTGGACTGGAGATGCAAGGCTCTCGTGTGGCCCACTGTCAACCTGCCACTTCTCTACTGCAGCAATCAAATCAATTTAGTTTACATGAAGTTACTTGTGTTCATTGGAATTCCTTACAATTAGCTAATTATATATTAAATACTTTTAATTATTTACTGAATTAAATTACAATTAACTGAAACGTGCGGATAAAATGTTGTAATAGTTTTAACTAAGGCCATGGCGAGGCTGATTGCGCGCTCTGTCTGTACGCGTTCGAGACGACATCGAACAAGTGAGTTGCCAGATACCGCCATGCTTAGCGACTTGGGCTGCGGTGCAAGCAGTTTACAACATTGCTCATTTAATTTCAAAGACTTCGTTCGCTCACGATGCTTCAGAAATTAACAATAGGAATGCAGTCAAAGTGAGACACATTTTTTTAAACCTTGTATAGGAGAAAATCCACTTCAAATGATTTATTGTCGTAATTAATTTAATTCTTAAATTGTGAGAAACATAACTTGTAAAGCAATCTGTGACTCTGAAAACATCGTTGCAAAATAGCTGTTATATTGAGTCGAGTATTATAATAGATGTATTTCAGAGTTTTAGTTTCAGACAAGAATGTGTGGCACTTCTAATTATTTCAGGAAATCACTGTTGGTCGACATTAGTTTGTCGGACCGCTCCGGCGATTCTCGCGGCATTTTGTGGATAACGCATCAGTGAATTACACATAAATGTTGTTTATCGCTTGAAATTAACCCAGAAGCTTGGACAAAACCCTAAATTTGCCAATAGAATTTGAAGTTTGGGTCTTTTCACTGTTTTTGTTTATGAAAACTGGTCAGCATCACAAACCTACTTCCTTAGTTTCACGAATATGCTTGGTCAGTAGGTACAGGCGTCTGCCTCACTAACTCAGCTACTAACTTAAAACATTATACGGCTGGTTTTTAGCACGTTTACGAGAATAATAATTAATGATTTTGAGAGTTGGTTGTTTGTTAAACCTTGCAACATTAGTGAGAGAATGTTGCCAATCTGCCTCCTAAGTGTTTCTAAATGCGAATTGTTTCAGTGACAAAAAAAATGGAAAAAACGTGTTCTAGTCAAATCCGTCTTGTACCAGAATCCTGATCTTAATTAAGACCGGTCCACGGGGTAGCTGAGCTAGCGGTTGAAGGGTTGAAGACAAGTGTGGAGGTTGCACGGTTGTTGCGGAAGACGGACGTAGGTTTGTACTGCTCTGTGCCTGACTGTCCAATTTCCAAATACATAAAGTACATATAGTTAGACGCTTAATTTCGTCAATATCGACAGATAGGAGTGGTGAATAAAAGTTCGAAACTCCTTGACTCAATAGTGAACAACTTCAGAAGGATGCCGATCCGTCGCCGTAAACGGCCTAAAGGAGGCAGTGC